AAACTAAAACGAATCGCCAGTAAACAATGAAAACAATCTTAATCAACAACAAATACAACATGCGTAAAAAAAAAATCTTGAATATTTTTTATTCAATACAAGTAAATATTCGTTATTAGAGAGTTTTAGATTTACGTTCACGGCAAACGTGAAACGTCAGTTGACCATTTAAAAATTATTCTAAATAGCTTAAAAAGAATCGCAAAAAAAGTCCAAGTAGTAGAAAAACAAAAGAATATTTGTCTTTGGTGAGAAGGTTTGTAAAAGGTAAAGTAAAATACAGGAAAACGATGAAAACGTGGTCACGTTTGCCGTTTGCGGGGAGAAAAAAAAGTCAATCTAAAACTCTCTATTATCATATGACCCGTATCTGCCCGGGCGCGCGCTCTTAAAAAATCCTTCGGGAAAATGGCGTGAGTAGGGCCGTACGGCTTTGAGCGAGCAGGGCCGTACGAATCCGTACGGCCCTGCTCGATTCCGCGCGCTTTCTTTTTTTAAATTATTTTTCTTTTCGTGAGGGTCATATGTTAAAATGCTTATTGAGTTACGTCGGACCGTACGGGAAAATATTTGGCTCTCTGTCACGGCATCACCTCGAGCCAAATATTTTCCCGTACGTCCCTCCCACTCAGTCAATAAGTACATAGTATTTCTGCGTACTTGGTTTTTCGACCCCTGGAAGGTTCATGGCAGCCATCAGAGTCTTGATGCTCTCCTCTGAATTACCACTCTTCTGCTGTACACGGGCTTTAATCAGGTGATACAATGGATGTTCACGTACCTGGGGGGATAACACATCATTAGCTGAAACACTTACAGTACAGTATCGTACATTATCAATAGTCACTCTTCATGTTTCTGGTCCACTTAGACATGAAGTCTTGGCTGGGAATCGAGAGTGGTGTAGCGGTAGTACACTCGCTTCTCACCTCTGGGGTGACTCTCTCACCCTTGATTCTCCGGTTTTCCTCTATGCAAAACCTAACCATCTAAATTCCAATTTGATGTATGAACTGTTAAAAACCTGATGCCCTGACTTAGATCAGCCCAGAGGTTGTTCCAGGGTTCGATCTGTGAGTTAGTCATACCCTGACTTAGATCAGCCCAGAGGTTGTTTCAGGGTGCTATCTGTGAGTTAGCCATGCCCTGACTTAGATCAGCCCAGAGGTTGTTTCAGGGTNTATTACCTGACTTCTTCAGGCGTTCCTTGGAACTCATTTAAAGCATCCTGCATGAACTTTGCTGCCTCGTGCTGTTGATATAACATGAAATTAAATCACATTTGGTTTTCGATTCGAAAAGTGCAGGCTCGTCGCTAGGGGTGGTTTGATGGTTCGAACAACCCCCCCTCTCCTCTCCCCTCCACCTTTGTAGGAGTGCGAAATAATGTTTAGCACTATAGACCAAATTCTAAACTCGCACCGATGTGAGGCTTAAGTTGTGAACAAAGGGATCTGGCGTGACTCAAAGTAATCTGGCGTGATTCAAAAGTCACAAATCACGCCAGATTCCTTTGTTCACAACTTAAGCCTCACATCGGTGCGAGTTTTGAATTTGCTCTATTATGTGGTATAAAAGGCATGGGGAGCGTACCGAGTGTCCAGCTAAGCGGTGAGCTTCTACCAGTCCAAGGTACACAGAAACACGATCACTCAGACCAATCTGAACCTTCTTGTTTCTCTTGCTTTCACTCTTGGAAACTAAAACGAATCACCAGTAAACAATGAAAACAATCTTAATCAACAAGAAATACAACATGCGTAAAAAATCTTGAATATTTTTTATTCATTACAAGTGAATATTCGTTATTATCATATGACCCGTATCTGCCCGGGCGCGCGCTCTCAAAAAAACCTTCGGGAAAATGGCGTGAGTAGGGCCGTACGGCTTTGAGCGAGTAGGGCCGTACGAATCCGTACGGCCCTACTCGAAACCTGCGACCGTATTATTTTTCTTTTCGTGAGGGTCATATGATAAAATGCTTATTGACTGAGTTACGTCGGGCCGTAGGGAAAATATTTGCTGGCTCTCTGTCACGGCATCACCTCGAGCCAAATATTTTCCTGTACGGCCCTCCCACTCAGTAAATAAGTACATAGTATTTCTGCGTACTTGGTTTTTCGACCCCAGGAAGGTTCATGGCAGCCATCAGTGTCTTGATGCTCTCCTCTGAATTACCGCTCTTCTGCTGTACACGGGCTTTAATCAGGTGGTATAATGGATGTTCACGTACCTGGGGGAATAACACATCAATAGCTGAAATACTTACAGTACAGTATCGTACAGTATCAATAGTCACTCTTCATGTTTCTGGTCCACTTAGACATGAAGTCTTGGCTGGGAATTGAGGGTGGTGTAGCGGTAGTACACTCGCTTCTCACCTCTGGGGCAACTCAGGTTCGATTCCTGGACGCTTCACATCACCAGCATCAACATCACCCTTGATTCTCCGGTTTTCCTCTCTGCAAAACCTAACCAGCTAAATTCCAATTCTATCTGTGAACTGTTAAAAGCCTCAGATGCCCTGACTTAGATCAGTCCAGAGGTTGTTTCAGAGTTCAATCTGTGAGTTAGCCGTGTCCTGACTTAGATCAGCCCAGAGGTTGTTTCAGGGTTCAATCTGTGAGTTAGCCATGCGCTGACTTAGATCAGCCCAGAGCTTGCTTCAGGGTTCAATCTGTGAGTTAGCCATGCCCTGACTTAGATCAGCCCAGAGGTTGTTTCATGTTGGTATAGATAAAATATGAAAGATTTTTTTTCTCACCTCAAAATTATAACTCAATCCAACTTCCAAAGACTGTTCAGCCTGTTGATARTTACCCTTTTGAAGATGAATCTAGTAGGCAAATTCGACAAAGAGACATGAAAACACTTAGGAAATTCCACTGACAGCATAGATTTTGTGTGCTCCTAATTTCTCACCTCAGTCTCTACTGTGGTCATGTATTCAGTATGGACCTCAAGGTGCCGGACGGCAAAGCAGGCGGGAACGTCAACGAATTTGAGGCGCTTCAACCTTCTATTGTATTATTACTTTATGTTTACCTAGTATTTTACTCAATAAGCACCGCCTCCGTTTTAAGGTGAAATGACGTCTTTTGGGAGTGCTTTACTTAAAACGAAAATCAGCAAAGATGAGCTTTTGGCGTAACCGTTCCCTTTAGTACGTAAAACAAGGGCATTTCACGTCTTACTTTCAGCATAAGACGGCAATGATGCACAGTGTTACGTAAATTCCAAAGAGTGTCTATTGAATAGCGCAATTAGTGCAATTGTATGCTTGCCGTCGTCGTTGCCGTCCTGCACTTTATGGTCCCTACTGATGCTAGCATAAGAGAGGACTATCATGCTATGTTGTCATCCAAGCCACGGCGAGGGTTTAGTCATTAGCAGATATTTTTTAGAGCAAAGGCAGCACCTTCTACTCAGTCATTATAAAACATTATAAAACCCTGAGTGTTGGTCCAGTAGAAGATTAAACCCGTGGCCTCCCACAGAACAAGATGGAACCAACTGAGCCAGCTGGGAGGCGGACATGTAAGGTTACAAACATGTGGCCTTCGTCATTTCCAGGCAGAGTGGTGATATATCCGTCATGTCATGTAAATATGATTGCAAGAGATATAATGTATACATACCTGTGCCATCAGCAGGTGGGCATCAGAGAAGGTAGAATCTTGTTCAAGACAATATGCAAGCATCGACTTAGCAGCATCTGTCTCACCTGAATAACACAGTTAGCGGGACAATATCACTACAAAAATATATTGCTTACTGTACATAGTTTATCAACGGCTATGTGTTACGACCAGCACCTGCGGTCTTCATTAGGCAACTGATGGTTGGGTGGTTGTTTTGTGTTGTGACAAACGCCGCAGAATGGCTGCTAGGGTCCAGTCCAAAAAAGGAGAGAGTTGAAACCGGAGCCCCCTTTTCTTTTTAGTRAGAGATTCTCCACACATTCCCAGATCATGGCCTCCTTGATCGTCCTTATGGGGACAACATTCTTAAAATTTTGTTTCATTTTTTCCCCTTTCCCTTTCCTCTTTAGTAGTGAGAGGGTATGTCTTTTCATCACAATTTGCATACGAGAAACGAGGAATGTGATGACGTAATCAAGGGTGAAGACCGGCGACCGGCGGATCAGGTGGGGAATGGGAGAAATGTAAAATGACGTAATGTCGGAAGAATGTGAAGAATGTGGTTACGAAAAATGTCACAACTTTGAAAACGAGCATCCATACTACAAAAACCTCTAAGCAATAAAAATATTAAATTTAAACTGACTGGTTTTGTGTTTTACATTCCTCACATTCCCCTTCTGATGCGCCATATTTCATATTCTTCACCCTTGATTACGTCATCACATTCCTCGCACGTAAATTGTGATGAAAAGACATACCCTCTCACTACTCTCTTTCATTCCTCTTTTTCTCTKTTACCTGCCAGGTATTTCACTTTAGCCATTAGGTACTGAGCCTCCATTAAACCAGGTACTGTTTTRGTCAGAGGGTCAAGAACTGCGGCACATCTTTTCAGCAGGGGTGGTACTGGCTGACCTGATGTCTGAGGCTTTAAAATYACAAGTCAGAGAAAGCATCAAATCATAAACTGCTAAATAGAAAAACATATCTTGTTTGGGTGGGTGAATTGAAGTTCAACCTACATAGAGAAAAAGACCCCTGGGACATGTCAATATTGTTGTGCTTTGGAATGCAGCTCAATCTGGGGGACAAAACAATCCTAAGAAGATTGGAATTCTTTTGTTTTTCTGCTTCGTCACATGCAAGCGGTCTATTCCTTTAGAAAGGCAATTTAGGCCCCGTCCACACGTATCCGGAAATTTCATGATCCGCCCTGATGCACGCTAGTGCCTAGTCCCTTTGACGGATAGTTTTTCTTATTGAGCATGCGCAAAATCGTGTTTACGTCATCGTATTCGAAGATATGCGGATACGACCGTCCACACGTATCCGTATTCGGAGCGTATTCCAAGAAATTTCCACTCTGGAGACCGTTTTCGAACATTTCTGGATACGGATACAAAAATTTCCGGACACGTGTGGACGCAACCCGCATCCGCAAAAAAAATTGCGGATACAAAAATTTCCGGATACGTGTGGACGGGGCCTTATAGAAAAAATTTCCTTGAGACAAGGTGTATCTGGCACATGACCCATCATATTAAAGTGTATATGACACGAAAACATTCCATCATTTAAAATGTATAGTTTGTTAGTAATAATAAATATNGAGAAAGCATCAAATCATAAACTGCTAAATAGAAAAACATATCTTGTTTGGGTGGGTGAATTGAAGTTCAACCTACATAGAGAAAAAGACCCCTGCGACATGTCAATGTTGTTGTGCTTCAACAATAGATCCCTTGCAGTACTTTGGAATGCAGCTCAATCTGGGGAACAAAACAATAGGTTCCAATTGTAAAAAGATTGGAATTCTTTTGTTTTTCTGCTGCGACGTCACATGCAAGGGGTCTATTCTTTTAGAAAGGCCATTTAGAAAAAAATTCCTTGAGAAAAAGAGTATCTGGCACATGACCCATCATATTAAACTGGCTTTTAACTGGTCAATGTTGCTGACAAAAATTTTCGCTGTGATTAAAAAAATGCATTCCATTCTTCATGCATACTAGTCATGAAATTTTATTCAGTGTGGGATAATACATCTTACTTCATATTCTCTTGTACATAGTTATAGACTGAACTTGTGATACATTGGCCCTGATAAATGTCATAAATCTACAGTGTATGTAACAGGTTTTAAAAATTCATTTACCTCTGTTGGAGCATATTTCAAGTAGTCATYGATAATTTGCAGGAGAAAGTCAGGATCCATCTGATAGAAGTACAGTGCACTAAGTGCTATACCCTGTAGAGAGAAGCAAGGAAAGATGCATGAGAAAAGGATTTACTGCCTCATAGGCTACAATATATGGGAATAGGCATCTACTTCGGACACTGTGTTATTTTTCCCATTTCAGAACATGTGTCATTCTCTTGCTGGGAATAAGATTCTTTGTTTGAGTTGTATCCATATTCATGTGCAAGGCCGTAGCCACCACTTGGACAGTGACTGGTTTTTAAAAAAGGACTCTTGTACTCTTTTGGTTCTTTATAAAGATTTCAAAATCTTTATATCAAGATATCCATGTTGAACTATTATCAGGTATCAAGATCCATGCACGTGATGGATTTGAAGGACCTGATAGGTCTAAATTCTCATTAATTATTCATGAAGTTTTGAAAATGGTGTAAAGAGTTAGTGTAATAAGGAAAATTGTAGCTATTATGTACCTGCAGCCCAGTGAAGTGTGTATCAATGGCATCATTCAAAGCATCAACTACATCCTGCTGTGGTTTGCCTTCCTTCCTATACAGCACAGACGTCAAGTATGACAACTCCTATGAACAGAATAAACACATAATCACTTGACAAACCAGAGAACAYGGAGTAAAACAACTATTTTTTTCAATGAATTTAATTTCATGTATTGARGTGCATACCAAATTATTGAACCGTGAAACAACCTCTGGGCTGTCAGKGTCTGGTTGTTTTGCCCACAAAAYRTGTTTGCACACATGTTAAGTGGATGAGCCCACACTAAATAAAGTCAATTCCCAAACAATATAGAATTCTATACCTCAAGAGGAAGAGGTTTAMAGCCCCTGTTTAGATGAAGACGATTGATTAAGAAGTGAATTTCTTGCGTATGAAATAACTCGAGAGAGAAACGACCACAATTCGACCTAAGTTAGGGCATGGCTAACTCACAGATCAAACCCTTAAACAACCTCTGGGCAGATCTAAGTCAGGACATGGCTAAATCACAGATTGAACCATGAAGCAACCTCTTGGCTCAAAGTCAGGTCAGGGCTAGCCAACAGATCAAATTGAAATTTAGGGTGGTGTTTTGGAGAAAACATTGAGGTACTGTAGATAACCTAACATTCTTTGAGCAGCCAAACAATTATACTTATTTTCCTATTGTCAATTTTTCCTGGAACTCGTATATATGWTGGAATATATGGGACAACACTTTTGCCACAGGAAGCCCAATATAMTGGGGCAGGTACTGTATATCATGTGAAATGTGTAAGTCTCCTGAAAGAGGGTCTGCAAGTGGATGCATGGTAAGGCATGTTATCATATGACCCGTATCTGCCCGGGCACGCGCTCTTAGAAAAACCTTYGGGAAAATRGCGTGAGCAGGCATCACCTTGAGCCAAATATTTTCCYGTRTCGCCCTCCCACTCAGTCATTAAGTACACATTATCTATCTATCAACTCACAGCTGATTTTCCAATGGATTGTTGTATCTCGTTAAGGAACTCAAGCTGCTGTTCAGCATCTTCAATCTGACCGTCTATCAGTTGACACTTGATGATACCTTGAAAGATAAAAATATATTAAATACAAACAATTATGATCTGAAAATGTTTTTAGATTTGGGTGCATATAATGTATTCCAAATCAAACATGATACCCCAGAGGTCAGTAAAATGCCACTAACTGTACTTCACCCTTGATTCCATTAACTATAAGTCTATTTAGATTTAGGAGTGAAGTCTTCTGTTCTCCTAGTGTAAGGTAATTAGTTGTCACATGACCCCCCCCCCCCCTTCTTGGAAGGACCAAATGTGTCAAAATGAACACCAGAAATGAAAAGACCACCTCCATATTAGTAAGAGGGTGAAGTTTTAGCTCAAAAAGTTGACTATGGTAGAAATGACATTAAATATAAAATCAAATATTTTATGAGGATTTGTATGGGGAAAGTGTTGACTGATGGTAAGATCTTGCAATTTTAGCCCATTTTCCCATCACATTCAATTTTATGTTTAATCAAATTTTTCCTGTTTTKCTTGTTATGAGCTGAAACTCCATCTCCMTAMTAATKTTMAACARTTMTTTTMATTTCTGTTGTATATTTTGACAAAGCTGCTCATTTTAAGGGAGGTAGGGTCACATGACCTGTCAGTGTACGTTGTCTCGATTTTAAAAGGTGGAGTCCTGCTTGATTCCTTACCAGTTAGAGCAGGYACACTTGTCTCGTCTAGTTTCATTGCATTTCTAAAAGCCTTTGTAGCTTCCTTGATRCGACCAGATATAATCAACTGATTTCCAACCTRAAAATGATGAAAAAAATAGAATACAGAATACAAAAACAAAATATATCTGAGCATGTTCTTTTGAATCTAAAGTTCAAGATTCTTGTTTTCAAATTTTTTTTCAATTTTTTTTTCAATTTTTTTTTGTGAGACAAAGGGGATCAGTAATTAATTGATCAAAGTAGTAATGGTGGTGAGTATAATGATAAGGAGATGAAAAAGGTGACAATGATGATGATTATCAAGACCAGTTCATGATGAATGATAATATTAGTAAGTGATGATGAGGTGGAGGAAGAGGAGGACAATGATTAAGATGAGGAGAAGAAGGTCCTTCTTGTCTTCCTCCTCCTACTACATCAAAGTATACAAACCTCAATCTGGAAGTCAGCATTGCTAGGTGCAAGAGACTGTGCTCTTTCAACCATGGTAAGGGTTTGCTGCAGTATTAAGGGGCTACGGCCACACTATGAACAATATAAACAGTTAGAGTCAATCAAATAGCTACATGTAAACTAAATTTCAGATATCACAGAATAAGTCTCAGACTTTATTATCCAACCGTAGACTCTGGCTGTAGAGTATAAATATTGCAGAAGAAACCCTGCAGCTAGTACAAATATCCTGCAATATTCGTACTCTACAAATTACAAGCCCCATACAGTCACATACTGTAAAAGCAAAATTCAGGATCTGGAAAGAGGACTTAAGATACCAAATCACAAACTATTCTTTCCTGAAATATCCCACATCACGCAACATTAAATTGTAAGTGACTGCAACCACATTCAACAAATTCAAAGGCATTTGAATTTTCTATTTATTCATTTATGTCTTCACATTTTCCCAGAAAATCAGAAAGCAAAATCCCATGTTCCAAACATTGAATTCCACAATTCCCAAATCATTGCTTTATGCCAATATCCCGAACCACAGGATATTTTTCTAGTTTCCTGGATTCTGTGCTATTTTTTATCCATTTCCCAGGTGCCGCAAATACCCTTCCGGAGGTACCCTTCCAGACCCTGAATATTTGGTAACAATAGTTGGTTAATGAATAACTTATGACACATTTTATAGGGTGAAAAATGGGTAGTCATTTTTTTCTTGTCTTCTTGCCCTAAAGAATAAGTTGAATTAAGATATTATTGATGTATACTCACCAGCCTACTAAAGCCCTTTGAGATGTCACAGTATACCAGGGGGTTGCGTGGCTCACATCTGTCAACAGCTTGGATTAAGTCAACTA